TCTGTTACTGGGGTGGATCCTTCCTTTATGACTAGCTTGGTGACATCTTTGTGGTAACAAGTGAGTTCTCACTTGCTTAGTTTCTATGTGAACTGTTTGTTAAAAAGAGTCTGGTACCTCCCTCCTTTCTTCCTCCTCCTCTTGCCATGTGATGCTGCTCCCTTTGCCTTCCATCATGAGTGGAAGCTCCCTGAAGCCCTCACCAGAAGCAAATGCCAGCACCATGCTTCTACAGCCTGCAGAACTGTGAGCCAAATAAACCTCTTTATAGATTACCCAGCCTCAGGTATTCTTTTATACCAAGACATGCCATATGTATCTCATGATGGGAGCCACAGGGTAGAATATGTTGTAAGACAGCTGCTCTGATCCCCACCACTGCTTCTGCCTCCCAAAAGCACACCACTTCCTCCGTGTGCACACATCACTTCTGCTCCTGTCCATTCAGCCAGGTCCCAGTCATGTGAGTACCACTAGCTGCAAGGGGGTCTGGGTAGCATGGATGTAGAGGATGAATGAGCGAGTATAGGACTCCTCTAACAGTGGAAGTCGGCCCAGGCCTTGTGCCTCCATGCCCTTGCCAGCAATTATGTCTGAGCCCCTGCTCATCCCTGTAAGGAGAGAGCAGGGCTTCCAGCCTGCTTCAGGTCCAGGCAGTTCTGTAGGCTTCGAGGATGTGGCAGTGACCTCACCAGAGGAGTTGGCAATTCCTAATCCCTGCCCAGAGGCTTCTACAGAGACTGTTGGAGAGCTGCCTCATGGCAGTGCTGGACACAGGGCAGACTTAGGAGGCGAGCTCAGGGTGTGAGGGATGGAAGCAGGCAACAAGTGGGCCTTATGTACAGAGTGGGGATTCTACGCTGCGAGGCAAGCCCGGGAAACCTGGGGTTACTGATCCCCCACCACCAAACACTCAGTTCCCAGAGTTAGGGAGAGATACAACATTGTCCCCACCCCAAACACCAGAGCGCTCTCGATTCCTCCCACAGGAACTGACTTCATTTGTAACGGTGTGAAGTTCAGGCTTAAGGGTTCTCTCAACAACACTGGAAGTGGTGGAGAAAGGCAGTGTGGTAGATCAATCGATTTATTGGAGATCTATGGCAAAAATATAGTCTGGCTAGGGGCCATGCAAGTATCTCAAATACTAACTTCGGGAACTATCCCTTCAAAGGAGTCCAAATTTGACTGGATTAACCTGTGAGGCAATTTATGTCCAGAGCACTATTCAAAGCAGTAGAACAATCAGCTGACAGGGAGGACAACAAAGAGCTTTGCAACCCTTTGAGACCACTGTTGTCCAGGGCGACGGAGGGAAAAATCTGAGGTGCAATCAGAGGCGCTGGGGTGTGGGGTGGGGAATAGGAGCCATTAAAATAGTCTAGCCGGTCACTGAGCAAAGAAACCGGGAAAACAGTCTGAGATCGGGTTGGCTAGTACCCAGAATTGCTACAGTATGTTACCTAAGAATGTCCACTCTTCAGCATAGTTATGAGGCATGCAAAGAACCAGGGAAGTACTGCATATACACCAGGGAAGAAGGCAGGTGATAGAAACTGCCTATCTAGAGGAAGATGTTGGATGTAAAGGAAAGACTTCAAGGTGGCTGTTATAAATACATCATAAGAATTAAAGGACATCATGACTAAATAAAGAGGGTAAAGCTATAAAGGAAGGAATGAGCCAATAATTGTCTCAAAATGAGATTAAGAAGGTAGCAATTATATATAAGAATGGCTGGGCGCAGTGACTCACACCTGTAATAATCCCAGCACTTTGGGAGGCTGAGTCAGGGAGATCATCTGAGCCCAGGAGTTTGGTACCAGCCTGGGAAACATAGTGAGAACTTGTCTTCATAATTTTTTTTTCAACCAGGTGTGGTGGCACACACCTATGGTCCTGGCTACTCAGGAGGCTGAGGTGGGAGGATTGCCTGAGCCTGGGAGGTCAAAGCCTGCAGTGAGCTGTGATTGTGCCACTGCATTTCAGCCTGGCAGTGAGCTGTGATTGTGTCACTGCATTTCAGCCTGGCAGTGAGCTGTGATTGTGCCACTGCATTTCAGCCTGCAGTGAGCTGTGATTGTGCCACTGCATTTCAGCCTGGGTGACAGAGCAAGACCCTCTCTCAAAGAATCAGATGAAAATTGGAGTTGAAAAGTACAGTGACTGAAATGAAAAATTCACTAGGCAAGCTCAATAGTAGATTTGAACTGGCAGAAGAAAGAATTAGTGAACCTGAGGAGACAGTGATGGAAACTATGCAATCCAAAGAACAGAGAGTAAAAGGAGTAAAGAAAAATGAAGAGAGTCTTAGAGAAATGGATGATACCACATGAACTGCACCAACATACACCTGGAGAGCCAGAAGAGAGGAGGGATGGAAAGGAGCAGAAAAAAATGTTTAAAGAAAGAATGTCTGAAAAATCCCCAAATTTATTGAAAAATATCAACCTACAATCCAAGAGGCTCAGTGAACTCTAAGTAGGGTAACCAAAGAGATCCACAAATAGACCCATCATAGTAAAATGGCAAGAAGCCAAAGAGAAAAATCAAGAAAACAGAGAAAAATGATTTATCACTTGCAAAGGAACCCCAGTAAGATCAACAGCTGACTTCTCATCAGGAACAGTGGAGGCCAGAAGGAAGAGGGATAATATATTCAGAGTGCTCAAAGAACAGCAACAACCACCACCAAAAAACTACTAAGAACCCTATATCAACCAAACTAGCTTTCAGAAATGTAAGCAGCTGGGCATGGTGGCCAAGGTGAGTGGGTCACCTCAGGTCAGGTCAACATGGCGAAACCCTGTCTACTAAAAATACAGAAACTAGCCTGGTGTGGTGGTGTGTGCCTGTAATCCCAGCCACTTGAGAAGCTGACGCAGGAGAATTGCTTGCACCCAGTTGTAGAGGTTGCAGTGAGCCGAGATTAGGGCCAGTGAACTCCAGCCTGGGCAACAGAGGGATACTGTGTCTCATAAATAAATAAATAAATAAATAAATAAATAAATAAGCAATTTAAAGATCATCCCAGATACTACGTATAAAAGCCAAGAGAACTTGTTGCTGGCTGGCCCACCTCATGAGAAATATGGAAGGAAGTCTTTCAGGCTGAAAGCAAATGACCCCAGATGGTATTTTTTAAATCCACATTAAAAACAACACTAGCAGAGATACGTGTAGCATTGTTTAAAATGGTATAAGTGCATATTTCTTCTTTCTTAATTGATTTAAAAAGCAGTTGTATAAAACACTATGCGTATAACGTATTATTGGGTCTATCACATATAGGCATATAATGCATTTGTCGGTAATACCCCAAAGGAGATGGGTGGAAGCAAAATTAACTTGCTAGGAAGTGAGTCCAGGTAGTAACTCAAATTCACAGAACCGATAAAGAGAACCAGAAACAATAAAAAGAGCGTTACTGCAGCAGAAGCTGTACATGTGTACTTGTCCTCCTTCATCTCCCCATTTCTTTAAAGAGCATCACATTGCATCAGAATGACAATGTGCCACTGGGTTTGTAACATTTAGAGAAGTGGCATGTGTAACGGTAATACCACAGAAGGGGAAAGGGGCCGGAGCTGCGCAGGAGCTGCATTTCTGTCTCTCCCTGGAATCGGTGCCGATCCAAAGTGGGTTCTGATAAAATGTAAATGGTGATCCCCGGAACAACCACTGAAGAGATAATTCAAAAAATAGAGTGAAAAAATCATTAAAGAAATAAAAATGCTACGTTGGGAAATAGCCAGTGTAAAAGAAAGCAGCAAAGGACGCAGCACTCACTCAGTGTGGCCCGTGCCGTCCACATGGCGGCAGTTACTCGTCCAGTCTTCCTGAGGCCTGGCTGAGTCGCTGGTGCCATCCCATTGTGCAGAGGAGTGGTTAAGGGTCAGGAGCGGCAGGGATGGTCAGGGACACAGCGTTTCGAGTCTGGAGCCATCTTACTCCACAGCCCAGGATCTCACTGCAGTGCTTCCACTGCCTGTTGCCTATGATTCCCTACACTTTTCTTGGCTTCCAGCGGCCTCTGCCTTAGCTGTGTCTGCCAGCCTCCTGCTGTGCTGAGCTGGATGTGCTGGGGGTACCTCTGTGTCCTGCTTTCCCTGGGTAGACCTGGTGGCACCTGCTGTCCTGGAACAATTGCTAACGACACCCCTTTCACTCTCAAGAGTGTCTGAATTGTGTGGGGCCACACCGTGGGGCCCAACCTTCATGCAGTGCCTCACACATGGTGTCTGTGGGGTGTCAGCTCTTCAGGGGCCCCAGGCCAGCAATCATAGCAGAGGTCGCCATCAGAGGACGTTGAATGGTGCAAGCAACCTCTGAAGTCAGTGCTGGCCCCCAGAGTCTCTGTGTGGACGGTAACGTGAAGCAGCCTTTGCTGGGGAAGGACCCATCTCGGGGGCAGACTGAGTCAGTGTTCATCTTACCTGTGTTGACTGATGTCTCATATTTCCCTAAAATGAAGAAAACCAAACTGTGCTCTGACCACCAACTGGGCACATGTCATCAGGACCTCCTGCGACGTGTCATGGGCGTGTGTCCTCAACTATGGCAAAACAAACCTTCTAACTTAACTGAGACCTGTCTCAGGTCACGTTTCAGTAATCCAGAAGGGATTCTGAGTGGAGGTGCCACTAACCTTTGAAAAAATCTCCTATTGGCACTTGGTACCAGCTAGAGCTATCTTTATGACTTGACCCAATAGGACAATTCAGTGAGGCTTGGAAGCACCCCCTCCAGAGAATCCCTGAGCTGCCAAAATATGGTTGAGATTTAATATTTATTGTGGTGTTCAATTCCCTTTTCTTTTCTTTTTTTTTTTTTTTTTTTTGGCAGTGGTGTGGGGGAGTTGTACTTGGGAGTTGTACTTGCTTCCAGCACAAAGCGGGCAAGGTTTTTATGCTTCTGTGACGATGGAAGGCAGGTAACTCTTTTACAGAGTTTGAGCTCACTTTCAACAGGGAAGATGAGGGTTTTTTTCCTGCTTCTAGGATGGTGGAGAGCAGTCATCAGCCTGAGACCCATCCCTACGTAAGTAACTGAATTGGGGTTTGTCTTGACTAAAGTTAACAGTAACATCCAACTGGTCTTAGTATCTCCTTACCGTTGGAGCGCTCGGTTGTGACGTTAAGTCGTGCAGTCCTTTGTTTTGCTTTGCTGGTTTTTTTTTGTTGTTGTTTGTTTCTGCTTTTGTTGTTTTTTCGGTCTTTTCCCCATTGGGTTTGACCAACTCTATCTGACTTGATTAAATTCGAAGGAAAGTTTCAAATTATGGGGAACAAGGCCTCTGAAGTGGCTAAATTCCCACCAAAAAAAAAAAAAAAAAAGATTTTTGATCTTCACTACTTAAGGGACTTTATTTACATAACAAGGCCACCCTTTTGCCAGCCAGGCCAAACTGAAAGCAGTGGCTGTGACCCCAAGCTACAGGTCAGTGCCCAAGGCTCTGCCTTCTATTTATTCCAGCACGAAAGCTGCGTTTGGGTCCTCAGTCAAGTCCTTTGAGGTCTGATACTTCTGAAATAGCAGAAACTCGTCCTAGCTGAAATATGGTAATGAGATTTTAAAACATTGTTTTAAAAGGAGTTCAGTTCCTCCAAGGTATTTGAGTTGTGAAAGAAAAAAAAAAGGAGCTCAATAGTTGAAAGTCAGCTAAATTAAAGCTAACATTCCAAGATGTGTGTGTGTATGTGTGTGTATGTGTGTGAATGTGTGTGAACGTGTATGTGTGTGTGAACGTGTGTGTATGTGTGTGAACGTGTGTGTATGTGTGTGTGAACGTGTGTGTATGTGTGTGAACGTGTGTGTGTGAACGTGTGTGTATGTGTGTGTGTATGTGTATGTGTGTGAACGTGTGTGTATGTGTGTGTGTATGTGTATGTGTGTGTGTGTGTGTGTGTGTGTGTAAAAGGCCTTAGTGTTGTTTCTGTTTTTTTCCTCTCCTGGGACCCTGTCTTTTTTTTTTTTTTAAGCAAAGGTTTTTTTCTTTTCAGTTGATTGAATTCTATTTTCTTCATTTGCTTCTGCTGTCTCTTCTTTCTCTTGCACCCTCTGCTCCATGGGGGATCTAAAATAGTTTATAACAGCCGCGGTTCCTTAAAGAAATGGAGAAGGTACTAGACTCCCTTTGGGGGAGAAACCTCTGTTTCTCTTTATGGAACCCCAAGAATGTAAACAGACGTGTTTGTCTCAGCTCTTAAACTACTGGATTTTGTATTGTGTACCTAATGTTTCATTAAAGTAGTTATTGCAACAGAGACTACCTTTGGTTTTTAAGGAAAAGTGTAGTTTAGACACTGAGAAATGTCTTTGTATTAGACCATTTTCACGCTGCTGGTAAAGACAGACCCAAGACTGGGCAATTTATGAATGAAAGAGGTTTAATGGACTTTCGGCTCCCCATGGCTGGGGAGGCCTCACAATCATGGTGGGAGGCCAGGAGAGGCAAGTCACGTGTTACATGGATGGCATCATGTGTTACATGGATGTTATGTGTTACATGGATGGCATCGTGTGTTACATGGATGTTATGTGTTACATGGATGGCATTGTGTGTTACATGGATGGCATTGTGTGTTACATGGATGGCATCGTGTGTTACATGGGTGTTATGTGTTACATGGATTGCATCGTGTGTTACATGGTTGTTATGTGTTACATGGATGTTATGTGTTACATGGATGGCATTGTGTGTTACATGGATGCTATGTGTTACATGGATGGCATCAAAGAGGGAGAGCTTGTGCAGGGAAACTCTCATTTTTAAAACCCTCAAATCTCATGAGATTTATTCACCATCATAAGAGCAGCATGGGAAAGACCCACCCCAAGGTTTAATTACCTCCCACCAGCTTCCTCCCACAACATGTAGGAATTGTGGGGGTAGCAATTCAAGATGAGATTTGGGTGAGGACACAGCCAAACCATATCAGTCTTCATTAAAAAAATTTTTTAAAGTGCCCTGTAAAAGCATCATGTAGTTTAGTCTCATAATCATTCTCCCACGTGGAGACACAGGATTCAGTGTGGGCTCTGTCCAAAGTTCAGAGATCCAGTTAAGAATATAGTCTTTAAACAACAGTTGTCTCCTTTTTCAATCCTATGATAGATTTCTATAAATTTTATGTTTGGTTTGGCATGCATCTTCAGTCTACCCCTAGCACTACCAGACTTTTTCTCTCTCTACCTTGAGATGTAAACTTTGCTATCTGATTTTTCATCTAAGAGTCATTTGCTTCAATATGCAGATTTAGGGCTATTTAGTTGACAGTAGCCAGGGCAATAAAACAGGTTATCAAGAGTTTACAAGTCTAAGCTGGGGAGAAAAAGGAGGTCTTAGGAACCTACAAGATGTACTTCTATTGGTATTCCTAATATGACTACTCATTTGTTGTATACACAACATTTCACTACTGAAAATATATGAAAGAGCTCTGCTTAATTGGCTTAAGAAAATAAAAGCCCTTGAATCAAATACTGTATCAGGAAAAAAGAAAATACTAATCAAATGCTTTTTGAAGTTTATGTAACTTAAGTAAAATTGTTAACAAATAAGCTAGCTCTAAAATTATTGGTAAAGTAATATTAGCAATGTCTTGAGAACTGCCAGCATACATTTTTGTTTGCATTTATTAAGCAATTTCATACCTCTCCCTGTCAAATACTATAAGGTGTCAAAATTTGGCATAGAGGTTACAAAACTATAAGCCAAGCCTAAAACAGTGATTTTTGCTTGTGTAATTTTTAATAAGGCATTGATATTGATTTAATAAAAATAGCTGGATCTTGAATTTAGTAATATTACCATAACTTCTAATGTTTTGATGGTTTTAGGTGGTTTAGTCCATAGCCAGTAGGGTTTGTTAACATCTTTGTTTCAAAGCTAAATGATAAACTAAGTTCCTCCTAAGTTAGTTTGACCTACACCCAGGAATGAAAAAGGACAGCTTGGAGGTTCAAGGCAAGATGGAGTCATGTCAAATCTTTTTCACTGTGTTAGTAATAATTTTGCAGTGGCAGTTCTATAATTTTAAATGATGACTGTTGTAGTTTTCATAGATAATTGAGGTGAACAATTAAAATAATTAGGTAAACATAATGGGATAAATACCTGTAGGCAAACTCATCTAAAGTGAAATTAAATAGTAGATATTTCATTATTTGTGTATTTTCAAATAAAAATATATTTATAGGAAAACATTCTTTCTAAAAAAAAGTGTGTCCTTTTAGGAAAAAGGTGAGCAATTTTTGTCTCATTCAAAGCTTATTTAAAGGTCATGTATAAAACAAGGTAAAAGAAACCAAAAAACAAGAGATGTAAAGAAAGCTATAAAAAATAAAGAGGTTTTTATTTGGTAAGAAGGCTTAAAGAGAAATAAATTTATATGAGAAAGAATCCTGAATGGTCAATTTAGTCCTATAGTAAAATGACTACTGGCTAAAAAAGTGTTATTCAGATCAAACCTGAAGGTCCAAGCATGTCATGAATGGTCTGTGTAAATCATAATAAGGATGTATTTAAAAAAATTTTTTAAATTGCATTTTAGGTTTTGGGGTACATGTGAAGAACATGCTAGATTGTTGCATAGGTACACACATGGCAGTGTGATTTGCTGCCTTCCTCCCCATCACCTATATCTAGCATTTCTCCCCATGCTATCTCTCCCCAACTCCCCACCCCCTGCTTTCCCTCCCCTATTTCCCCCCAACAGACCCCAGTGTGTGATGCTCCCCTCCCTGTGTCCATGTGTTCTCATTGTTCAACACCCACCTATGAGTGAGAGCATGTGGTGTTTGATTTCCTGTTCTTGTGTCAGTTTGCTGAGAATGATGGTTTCCAGGTTCATCCATGTCCCTACAAAGGACACAAACCCATCGTTTTTGATGGCTACATAATATTCCATGGTGTATATGTGCCACATTTTCCCTGTCCAGTCTATCATCGATGGGCATTTGGGTTGGTTCCATGTCTTTGCTATTGTAAACTGTGCTGCGATGAACATTCGTGTGCATGTGTCCTTATAGTAGAACGATTTATAATCCTTTGGATATATACCCAGTAATGGGATTGATGGGTCAAATGGAATTTCTCTTTCTAGGTCCTTGAGGAATTACCACACTGTCTTCTACAATGGTTGAACTAATTTACACTCCCACCAACAGTGTAAAAGTGTTCCTGTTTCTCCACATCCTCTCCAGCATCTGTCTCCAGATTTTTTGATGATTGCCATTCTAATTGGTGTGAGATGGTATCTCAATGTAGTTTTGATTTGCATTTCTCTAATGACCAGTGATGATGAGCATTTTTTTTTATGTTTGTTGGCCTCATGTATGTCTTCTTTTGTAAAGTGTCTGTTCATATCCCTCGCCTGCTTTTGAATGGGCTTGTTTGTTTTTTTCTTGTAAATCTGTTTTAGTTCTTTGTAAATTCTGGATATCAGCCCTTTGTCAGATGGGTAGACTGCAAAAATTTTTTCCCATTCTGTTGGTTGCCAGTTCACTCTAATGACTGTTTCTTTTGCTATGCAGAAGCTCTGGAGTTTGATTAGGTCCATTTGTCTATTTTGGCTTTTGTTGCCAATGCTTTTGGTGTTTTGGTCATGAAGTCCTTGCCTACTCCTATGTCCTGAATGGTTTTGCCTAGATTTTCCTCTAGGGTTTTTATAGTGTTAGGTCTTATGTTTAAGTCTTTAATCCATCTGGAGTTAATTTTATTGTAATTTCTGCTTTCTTCACATGGCTAGCCAGTTTTCCCAACATCATTTATTAAATAGGGAGTCCTTTCCCCATTGCTTGTTTTTGTCAGGTTTATCAAAGATTGTATGGTTGTAGATATGTTGTGTTGCCTCCAATGCCTCTGTTCTGTTCCATTGGTCTATATCTCTGTTTTGGTACCAGTACCATGTTGTTTTGATTACTGTAGCCTTGTAGTATAGTTTGAAGTCTGGTAGTGTGATGCCTCCCACTTTGTTTTTTTTGCTTAGAATTGACTTGTCTATGTGGGCTCTCTTTTGGTTCCATATGAGGTTTAAGGTGGTTTTTTTCAGTTCTGTGAAGAAGGTCATTGGTAGCTTGATGGGGATAGCATTGAATCTGTAAATTACTTTGGGCAGTATAGCCATTTTCATGATATTAATGCTTCCTAACCATGAACATGGAATGTTTCTCCATCTGTTTGTGTCCTCTCTTATTTTGTCGAGCAGTGGTTTGTAGTTCTCCTTGAAGAGATCCTTTACATCCTTTGCTAGTTGTATTCCTAGGTATTTTATTCTCTTTGTAGCAATTGTGAATGGCAGTTAGTTCTTGATTTGGCTCTCTTTAAGTCTGTTATTGGTGTATAGGAATGCTTATGATTTTTGCACATTGATTTTGTATCCTGAGACTTTGCTGAAGTTGCTTATCAGTTTCAGGAGATTTGGGGCTAAGATGATGGGGTCTTCTAGATATATAGTCATGTCATCTGCAAATAGAGACAATTTGACTTCCTCCTTTCCTATTTGAATACCTTTATTTCTTTTTCTTGCCTGATTGTTCTGGCTAAGGATGTATTTTTATAAAAACCAAAAACTTTATGTGATCAAGTTGTCATATTATTAAGTTTTGCTTGGCCTAGGAAAAAAAACCGAGATTAAATTTTTTAAAAATTGAAGTTATTACATCCATGTAGCTCTGAATGCACAATTAAAATACTTGTGACATTGAGTTACAGGGCTTTGACTCCTGGGTCTAAAAGCGACACAAAGTTCTTCTAAGTTTTAAACACCGACAGCAATTAAGGCCCCCCTGTTTAGTCCCAGTAAAAGATTCAAAATAAACTGCATTTCTGAGACACAGGGCCAGAAATTAAAGCTATTCAACTCCTCAAGGCCCAGGGACTATCACGAAGAGGTACAAATCCATGGCTGTACTCAGAGGAAAACTCTGTCTCAAAACAAAAAGGCTATGTAAAAAAGAATTATTCTTGCTGCACTAAATACAAATAATTAGGCCAAGTATAATAAAGCAAAACAGTCCTACCATGATTTGTGCTTAGTACAAATGGGAAACTGGAGAAGGAAAAATGACATTTCAGAACCTCTAGTACACCTGTTATTAGATTCTAGTCTTGCCTAATATTTTAAAATTTTTATTATTCTTTAAAGTTATGACTGAATTCTAATTTTTCTTGGCTACAAGTTTTCAAGATAATGTTTTCAATTTTTTTCCTTCTTTTCCCCTCATTTTTCTTGATTTGGAGTCACTGAAAACTAAGCTGTGCTTCCATAAAGTCCTACAAACTAAAGCCAGGCAGCTTCAACTTCAGAAGGAAATAACAGCAACCTATTCACATAGAGAAGCCACTTTCACACCTGCCTCCTGATGTATGGACTGCAAAGTAATGTGGCCTATATCCATTTTCCCAGATTGTTCTTTAGTTTGCTGTTTTTCTCCCTTCCTCACCCTATTTTATTTTCATAGGACATGAGACTTCACAACCCTCTAAAAATGAGCTTTTCTAATAATTCCGGACCTGACCGTACAGGAACTAACTATTTTAGCCGTGAGAGACTGGACAAAACCTGAGACCAGAGACCCATTTTCTTCTAAAATGCTTTCTCCAAAAGAGTTTTTAAAAGAAAAGGGGAAAATGTGAAAGGAAAACATCTTGGGGCCCCAAAATCATTAAGCTAAAGGGAGAAGTCAAGCTAGGAACTGTTTAGGGCAAACCTGCCTCTCATTCTATTCTAAGTCATCCCTCTGCTCACTGAGATAGATGCATATTTGATTGCCTCCTTTGGAAAGGCTAATCAGAAACTCAAAAGAATGTAACCATTTGTGTCTTATCTACTTGTGACTTGGAAGTCCCCTCCCTGCTTTGAGCTGTCCTGCCTTTCCAGACGGAACCACTGTTCACCTTGCATATGTTGATTGATGTCTTATGTCTCCCTAAAATGTATAAAACCAAACTGTGCTCTGACCACCTTGGACACATGTCTTCAGGACCTCCTGAAGCTGTGTCACCAGCGTGTGTCCTCAACCTTTGCAAAATGAACTTTCTAAATTAAATGAGACCTGTCTCTGGTTTTTGAGGTTCACAATTAATAGTCAATGACATGAGGGATAAGCCCTCCTCCTCTCCTGGTTGTGGACCAATAGTCAGTGGCGTGAGAGATAGGCCTACCTCCTTTCCCAGTTGTGGACCAGTAGTCAATGGCATGAGAGATAAGCCATCCTCCTCTCTTGGTTGTGGACCAGTAGTCAATGGCATGGGAGATAAGCCCGCCTCCTCTTCCAATTGTGGACCAATAGTCAATGATATGAAAGATAAGCCCGCCTCCTCTCCTGACTGTGGACCAATGGTCAATGATGTGAGAGATATGCCTGCCCCCTGTCTCAATTGTGGACCAATAGTCAATGACATAAGAGATAAGCCTTCTTCCTCTTTCAATTGTGGACCAATAGTCAATGATGTGAGAGATAAGCCCGCCTCCTCCCCCAACTGTGGACCAATAGCTAATGATGTGAGAGATAAGACCGCCTTCTCTCCCGACTGTGGACCAATAGTCAATGATGTGAGAGATAAGCCCGACTCTCGATTGTGAACCAGTAGCCAGGGCGTGAGAGAGAAGCCCTCCTCCTCTCCATTTGTGGACCAATAGTCACCAACATGAGGGATAACCCCTCCTCCTGTCCCAGTTGTGGACCTTTCCCTCTTTATTATCTTGCACCTGACTCAGACCAGAAGGTGCAGAAGACCCCCTGACCCTTCCATCCTCCGTGTTCAATACACCTCTCCTGGAAAGAACACGGCCTCCCCTAGCTGGATGTGCTGGCTTTGTGTGGACAGTGTTGAAGCCGTTAAGCTTCCCAGACTTTATACCAAAACCTCTCCACTTTGGAGCATCAACTTCCATTCTTTGGAATCTGTGTACTCAGGTGGCTTTCTCAGCATTGTGTGCAAATAAACTACACTTAACCATATTCCATGCTTCCTGATATTTTTAAGGTTGACAGGGGCCACTGGCAGACTCATGTAGCCTCATCGTCACCCTAGACAAGGTGACTGCGGGCCTGGCTCAGAAGTCAGCTCTGGTGGACACAGGGAGGGGCCCAGGACAAGCAGAGGCTGAGTCTGATGTGCAGCTGCAGGGCAGTGGAAAGAGGCTGCCCCACCAGGAGCTGTTTTCTCCCCACTTCCCTTCTGAAGTCCTAGGCTGGGCCTTGAGCCTGTGACCCCATTCCACCAGCCTCCCTCTTGCCCTCCCCTTCTTCCCACACCCAATTCTCTTCTGCCTGCCCAGGTCCCAGATGCCAGAGGCTCTGCTGTCTGCAGAGGGCAGGGGAGGTGTCACGGGCTTTGGGAACTGTAAACATAGCCAAGATGCTGGCCCTTCCCTGGGTAGGAGAGCCACCCACCCACCTTTCCCCAGGGCTACTGCCCAGGCTCTCCCCTGGCTGGCAGCCTCCTCCCAGATACGAGTGGGCTGGGTCATCCTCTCTCCTAAGAGGGTGGCTGAAGCTGGGGACTTGCAGATGTGGTGCTGCGGTTCCCCTGGGGTCCCTGAGGGAAGCCAGGGGCTCTGTGGGCTCTGTGGCAGGGAGCCCTGGGCTTGGACTCCATGCCATCCTGCACAGCCGTCTGAGGGGCAGGAAGGCCTGGCCAGGCTGGGGATAGGGAGAAACCTGGACTTGTGGTGGCAGCTACTGTCACCTCTTCATTTCAGATGGGGGCTGAGCTCGGCGGGCAAAGGCTAGGGAGAGGGCACAGTAGAACTGAGCCCAACTCTGTGGGACCGGGAGCTGGGTTCATCCTCCTGTGACCCTGGCTCTTGGTGAGGAGACACCCTGAACTGGGCGGGGTGGCAGCCATGACAGGCATGGGGAGGTGGCAGGTCTCCAGGCTCACCTGCTCCTTTGCCCAGAGGGGCCTCTGACCTGTGGACCAGGCGCCCTCCTATGGCTCAGCTCCACCGCCTGCAACCCCCTTTCCTCAGGATGAGGAAGCCACACTGCCCCTTTTTCAGGGTGATAATTTTCATAAAGAGTCCAATTTTCCCCTGCAAGACCCAGATGGAGGCTGCATCTTCAGCAACAGGGCTCGCCGAAGCTCACTTCTATCATGAGGACTTTCATAAACCTCTCTCCCTAGTGCTCAAGATTAGGGGAGCAGGACAGAATTGGGGGCAGCTTCTTGCAGGGAGGAGCTCTGGCTTGGAGGCCTTGGAGGATTCTTGTGTGCTGGGGTGGGGAGGGGCATACTGGGGTCTCTAAGGCCCCTCGTAGATGCTGAATGCTCTGAGCTCCCCAGGCTCAGCCCTGCCCTGCTCTGCAGGACTGTGGGGCCAGGGTCTCCCTCTGGCAAGTGGTCCCAGGCCTTCTGCCCACCACACTGGCTGGAGGCCTCATCACAGTTTATTCCTAAAACCAGAGTCTGCTCCTCACTGGCCCTAAAGCCTCTACCTCCAGTGCCCCTCCCATGTCCCATTACCCCTTCAGCCTATGCAAAGGCTTTCTGTATGTGGTGGGGCCCCTGCCCCTCACAGAGGGTCACCGACGAAGGCCGCTGATGTAAGAGGAGGGCTGCATCCACCGCTTTCAAAGGACAGAAGTTGAAACGAAACGGCTTTATTGCAGCTCGACAATTAAGTAAATAAACAGCCTGTTTACGGAACTCAATCGACGTATTCCATTGAGTCGTCCTCTCCATCACGTCTGCAGGGGTCCTCGGTGTGCTGCTGGCTCCTCTTTCATTCGTATTCATGTTCTACGCCTGGAGTGATTCCTGGAGTCAGAACTAAGAGATGGGGGCAGCCCAGAGGAGGCTGGGCTGGGGTCTCTGCACTGCTGTTTTGGGACAGGCAGGTGTCCCCTTACTCTCAAGGCTTCCTTGGAAGCTGACTGCACACAGAGAGGCTGTGGGTTTCCCCAGCTGTGCTTGGGGACCCTCCATGGGGCACTCAGGCCAGCCCTGCAGGTGCCTGGGAGCTGGCGGGTGCTCAGAAAGGGGAGGGAGGCAGTGTGGGACGGGAGAGGACTGACGGAGGGGATGCTCCTGGCATGAGCCTCGCATTGCCATCAGTGCAGAGCAAGAAACCAGGAAAGGCCTGGGTGCCCCTGTGCTCACAGGGTGATGGGCAGATACCCCCTTATTTGTGACTGGAGAGGGAGCCCCTGGCTTTCTGAGCATGTGGGTGCATGTCCATTTCCACAAGGGGCTCCTTTTGCAGTCCCTGTGTGTGTGCTGCTCATGGGCTCGCGTGAGGGTGTGTACATGTGTCCATGCACTGTGTCAATGCATGTGTGCACACGTGTGTCCCAGGAGCTGGAGGGACAGAACCTCCTCTGCCCAGCCCGCCCTCCTGGCCAGGAGCCTGCAGCCACCTGCCTCAATCTTCCCCAGGAACCACCCAGGGCCATTTTCCTCCAGAGCCTAGAGGTGACATAGGCTCCTGCTCTGTGGAAAGGAAGCTTGAACCCTGGCGGCTCCTTTCTGTGTCCTGGTTGAGTAGTAAGAGCAAATCTCAGAAGCCCAGAGATTCTCCCTAGATGAGGCCCAGCCTGGGAAACACTTGTCCTTGATTTCTGCTTGGCCCAGGCCCTTCCACAGTGGGTGCTCTGTAGATACTCCCAGATGTGATGCCAACAGACCTGCCCTGGCTGCTTGCCACCTGCCTTGACCCGGCCCTGGGCCTGGCCCCCTGCTGTTATGCGGCTGCCATGCCATCCAGCCCCGGTCCACAGCCCTTGGTGCCTCCTTCCACAAGCGGCAACACCGAGCCCCTTCGGCCTTGTGCTGTGATCAAGGGCTTCCGGCGCTTTCTTACTGACTGACTTTTATTTGCTGACATTAAATGGTGCAGAGGGCTGGCAGGCCTGGCTTCCCGGTTCATAAATGGGATCAAAATGTCACTGTGATTTCTTTATTTCCTTATTTATTTTTTTATAATAGATTATTCAGGTTCTCTCTCTTTTTTTTTTTTTGGACGGGAGAATCACAAGGAATCAGGTGTTCAGAGGAATGTATTGAGTGGAGGTGAGGAACTAGGATGTTGAAAAGTAAAAAAAGGAGAGAAGGAGAGGAAGAAAGAGGAAGGAAAAGAGGGAGAGAGAACAGGAATATTGCGTCATTCTAAAAATGGGTATTAATAATGGCCGATCAATATTTTGTGTATTTAAAATGGAGAACTCTATAAATATTTATTGAGTTTACTTGTTCCGGATCTGAGTTGAAGTCCTGGATATCCTTATTAATTTTCTGTCTCGTTGAGTCTAAATCTCATTATGGGTCTTATGTATCTGGGTACCAAGATCTCTTATTGTTGCATTGATCCTTTTACCACTGTATCTTTAAAACCTTTAAGAAGGATGGCTGTGTCACCCAGATCTAGTTTGTAAACCTGCTCCAGCTGCTGTTGGTCTCTTGGGGCCCAGTGGCCCGTGCTGTCCTCCCCTTTCTCCTCGAGTGCTGGCCCTCCTTCCCCAGGGCCACCATGAGCACTGGGCTGAGCCAGGGTTGGAGCTGTAGACATAAATTTATAGGCCATTTCAGTATGGAAAACCAAGCAGTACTAAGTGGAAGGAGTGGACGGACATGTCCACTCACCCATCCCATCCAGCTCTCCATCCATCCAGCCAACCCCTGTCTGTCCATTTACCCATCCGCTTGTCTGTCCATCCACCGATCCACCTGTCCATCTGTCCACCCATCTGCCTGTCCATCTAGCATTCATTCCCCTGTCTGTCCATCCACCCATCTGCCTGTGCCTGTCCACCCACCCATCCACTTGCCCATCCATTCACCTATCTGCCTGTCCTCCATCCATCATCTGCCTGTCCATCCGTCCACCCATCTGCCTGTCCATCCATCTATCCATCTGCCTGTTTGTCTAGCACCCATCATCCTGTCCATCCATCCACCCATACCCCTGTCCACCCACCCACCCATTCGCCTTTTCATCTGGCACCCTGGCCCTCACTGATGGGCCTGCTGTGACTGCTCCCTCCTGGCTCTACTGGACAAGGTGTCTCCACTCCCCAGGAAGTGGGAGCCAGTCCCCTCCCTGGTGACCTTAGCACCACAGTTCACAATGTGCTCCTTGGCGGTCTCCCGCTGACCTCAGATTTGCCTTAGAGGCAGAGGACAGGAGCCCCGAGAGGGGGAGCAGGTTGGTGGGGCTGCAGGTCTGAATGACCCTTGGAGGAGGCCAGCTGAGATACCAGCTCCTCCCCGACTGTGCAGAGCTCTCTCCTGCTATCTGGATGTGGACTCTGCTCCTGGGGCCCAAGCTGTGCAGGGCTCCTGCACCCTTCTTCAGGGCGGCCTGTGACGGAGGGTCTTCTCTCCTCATTCCACGAGGCTGAGGCCTGGAGGAGCGGGTCCCACGTTCGCTCTCCTGGGCACCCACTGCGGAGGTGGGCAGTTCAGCCTCCTAACTCACACTCGGGGTCCACTCAGTGCCTCCCAAACAGCATGAGGGCCACAGCAAGACTGAGCCCCAGAAAGTCTCCGGGTGGAGAAAAGGCTGTGGGGCCTCGGGGTGGGTTCAGAGTCTTTCAGTCACAGAGCTGCTGCCCAGGGCCTCAGCCACATGGCCACTGAGGTCATGGCCACTGCGGGCCCTTCCTGTGAGGCATCTCACCTCCCCAGACAGAGCCTGGATGTTTCTGGAGTCAGCGTTCTCTCCCGGCACCCCTTGGTCCTCCCGACTCAGCAGGCCCACATGTTTCCAGGGCTGTCAGCCAAGGTGGGCTTTCTGGGCTCAACCTAACTCGGCTCCAGGAATTAGGCATCCTTGGCCCCCCGATCCCAGTGGGAAATGAGAGCCATGGGATGGCTGTGGCAGCATGGGCAGACACAGCTGGCTTCAGGGACACAGGGGTAGACGCTGGTGGTGGAGGCCTGGAGCGAATGGCTTCTCCAGGTTGGGGCTTGGCCAGCTGGGACACACAGTCTGTGGCTGTGCACTGAAAGCGGGGAAATG